TTGCTAGGCATAACATGACCGCGATTCGTCCCTCGGGCTACTTTTCATTCGAGAGAAATTCTGCTAAATCAACCCTAGACTTTGCCTTCGGCAGATGGGAAAAAAACATTTCCATTGTTGGTCATATACCTAATATTTATACGGCATCCGATCACTATCCAATAATACTAGACATAACATCAATAAACTCACCAGGTGTAACTAGGTTTTCTAGAAGCTATGCAAAATGGGACCCACATAAGTTTGCTTGTACTCTACAAAAAGAATTACAAAAACCTCCGTCTACATTATTTCACACTTACCATGCACTAAAAAAAGCCGCCGAACTTTCCGTACCAGTTATTTGTATTAATCCAAAATACAAGCCGGTTCACTGGTGGAATCCTGAAGTTAAAAAAGCAAGAAGTTTTGCCAACGCCGCTAGAAGACGTCTAACCAGGGCCATCAGGAAGGATTCTCCCGAGATTCCAACCTTAAAGGCGCATTACAAACAAGCACGTAAAGACTATAAACATATTATTCTTGACAGTAAAGAGAAATCATGGAGAACCTTTATAGGCACTCTCGAAGATGATCCCTGGGGTAGACCATATCTGTCTCTAGTGAAGGACATAAACCGTTGGAAAACTCTTGATCCCTTCTACGAAGACGCTCAAACTGTCGAAGCAGTCATAGATAAACTGTTTCCTAATTGCACACATATTGATGATGTACCCGACATTCCGATCGAACCTATAACCAACTTTATTAATAGCTACACACCCAACCCTATAATAGAGAAATTTATAACGCCTGACGCCTGTTTAGAAACCACACCTGATTTGAAACTACTGAACAATGAAGAATTATCCAACATCATCCGTAAGCTGTCTGACAAAAAAGCACCTGGACCGGACTGCATAACAAACAAAATGATAAAATATACACATAAATTATACCCAACTTTTTTCCTGGACATGTTTTCTAGCGTCGTCCGGATAGGATATGTACCTTCCGCTTGGAAGATTGCCAAGGTAGTGCTTATCCCAAAATCTAAGAAAAAAAACGATTATAGACCAATATCATTAACATCCTCTGTATCGAAGGTATGGGAAAGACTTATGGTCACGTTACTTATTAAATATCCCGGATCATCATGTAACACCCACCAATATGGTTATACTAAAGCCAGATCCACACTAGACGCCTTAGAAAATGTTGCAACTACATATTCATTCTGCACCAAAAATAGTAACATACTAACAGCCCTATCAATAGACGTAACTAATGCTTTCAACACACTCACACTTGACAGCATAGCAGAGCAAACAATTAAAAGAAAACTACCTTTATGGCTATCTGGACTTTTAGTAGACTTCCTCCACAATAGATACATTTATGTTGAAAACTCTAGAGACAAAATTTGTAGAAGAACTGTTAACGGGGTTCCACAAGGCTCCGTTATAGGTCCCATCGCGTGGAACTGGGTGTACGACGACCTATTAAATCAGATTATAAATAAAAATACCACACCTGTAGCATACGCCGATGATTTACTTATTTTAGTACAAGCATACAAATGGCCCGACATTGAGAGAGCCTTATCACTTGCTTTCAATACTACACACAAATGGATGACGGAAAAAGGACTCAAAATTGCAACACACAAAACCTTCGCAATGATTCTAGCTGGTCGCAAGTATAAAGATAAGGAAATAATTAACCTACAAAATTACTCTTTTACATTAGTAGATAATTTTAAATACTTAGGTGTCATATGGGACAACAATAACACATTTAAAAATCACGTAGACATGATCTCCACCAAAGCTAATGCTTATGTAAACTCTCTTCTAAGAATTCTCCCAAACACGCATGGCATCAATAACAAAAAAAGAGAAGTGTACTACTATGTTTGGCTCTCCATAGTCTCTTACGCTGCTCCCCTTTGGTACCCAAAAATCAATAGAATTGATAATTCCAAAGCTCTTGAAAGATCTCAGAGAGCAATCTTACTAAGGATTACCACTGCATATAGAACGACATCCAGAGATAATCTTTGTATCATTTCAGGCTTCCCACCTATCGAACTGCATCTTGAAAGACTTCATTGGTACCGCCAAGAATGGAAAACAGAACTTCAGAGCGGACTAATATCTAATTCACAGCAAATTTCATCAGAAACTGTAAGGAAAAAAGCCCTAAAAGAAGCGATGCACCTTAGGGTTATTGATAAGTGGGTTAAATACATTCAAGCGCGTCCAAAGATATCTTGGACCGCTTCCATCATCACACACATAAAAAAGTGGATCGGCAGAAAGAAAACGATGACCCTAAACCATTATGCGGTACAATTTCTAAGTAATTGTGGATGTTTTAATGCAGATTTATATAAAATCAGGCGCAGAAGCAACCCTATTTGTTATTTCTGCGACTCCGAGGATGACGCAGCCCACACAATGATCACGTGTCCCCAGTGGGTAAATGAGAGGACCTTGCTTCAACGAAAAGTAGGCCCCTTCGACATAAATAGCTTTATTAACATTATGACCTTTAGCCAACCCAATTGGCAAGCTTTCATGGACTTTTTCACCGAGGTGCAAAAAAGCAAGCTTCTACACGAAAGAAACGTGCAAAGACAACAAAAACAAAAAAAAAAAAAGAAGAAGAGGGTAAGTACTGCAGCTAGTCAACCTTAGGACATATTCGGCGGCAGTCATCTTATTCTACCTCATAAATAAGTTTCCGCACCTATCTGTACATAATGTATATATATACATATATTATATAACTTCTACATATTCTACTACTATTACTAATATTACATTTCGGATATATACATATTAATTCAATTTATACATATTCTATTATTACTACTACTCTTATTAGTATTGACAACACTACAACGCACAAATAAACTAATATCATATAGTTCTTTTATGAACGGAAGGCTTACTATGTTCATCAATAGGAAGACACCGCACCCGCTACAGGGACACCCCCCCTGTAGAAATATCGTAAGATGGAGCCGGGGTGTGGTTGGAGTTTCAAGAGGCAGGAGGAGGGGTTTTAGTGGGTAAACCGAGTTTCGGGAGCCCCACATATCCTGAGTGGTGCACACTCAGGAATGCGTAACGCATTTCCCCTGCTCCAAAAAAAAAAAAAAAAAAAAAAAAAAGGCCCTCGCGTCGCGTAACGAGCCCCGAAATCGTCACTTCAGTGGCCCGTCTTAGTGAAGTAAGTCGTAGTATCGTATAGCGCGTGTGTACCGAGATCCGGCAAAGAACGAGATCGAGAGGAGGACTATCGACCACTGTAAGTGAGCTCTCTCTTCTGGTTTCACACGGCAATCTAGATCTCGTTCGTATGATTATGTCGCGATCGGCAGTATAATATCGTAACTCTCTACCGCGCGCGAGAGAACCACGGGGGTTCGCCGGCAGAAATAATATCTAGAATCCCGGGCAGCTTTCCTCCAGGACGCAAAGGTAATGCGCCTGCCTCTCAAGTCCTTGTAAATAATTTGTTATCGGCGGTACCGTGGTACCGTCCGACCGCGTCTCTGTAATTTTCGTATTAAACATCTCAAGCGGCCGCAGGCCGCGTACGAACGAAGAATATAAGATCGTGCCGGAATCCAGTGTTATCGAAGGCGCGGGCCGCGACGATAGTCGACCGCCGAATTGTTATTCCGTCGTTAACTCACCAACACCTGTTGTAACGCGGTCTCGTCAGAAGCCGGCGAGAGAACGGCAATAAATTGTTATTCGATCTGTTAACTTTTATTTAAGTTTATTTTACTTGTCTGTGTCGTCCGACGGGAATCCCTGTCACGAGGGAAGTCTATCGTTCCGATATTTGCGAACCCTGGAAACCCTAGTCTGGTAGAAAATCCGGTGGTGGGTGCTTTCGTCCCGGTCGTTCGGTGGATTTCAACCCCTTCGTAGGGGCAGGTTTCGGTCCGATACTCCCCGAGTACGTGATATCGTACCTGGCGCCCGGAAAACGGTCGGAGGGACTCGCGGGGACGCGAACGTAGGCGGGGACCGGGGGGGAAAGCACTTTGTTCGTGTCGTGTAACGGCCGCGCGACCGGCCGAAATCGCGGTCCATGTAACAGTGGCAATGGCCGAAGCAGTAAAGGATGCAATATACTTTTCGGAGTTCCTCAAAGAAATAGGATTTTGTGCGTTTTCGAAAATGACTATTTATAATGATAATCTTGGCGCGCAGTTACTGGCAAAGAATCCTATTGTACATCCGCGTACTAAGCATATTAATTCATTTTTTGCGTGACGTTGTCAAAGAAGATAATTTTAACCCTTTGCACTCCGCTGTCGCCTCTCATGGGGCATCGTAATTCTAGCATATCACTCGGATGTCCCCTCTCATGGGACATTAAAGTTTATTAGTGATTACGGGGAATTAAGTTATTTCGGTGTAACTTTTTGAGACATGCATGTTTCCCTGAAGTTTTCTCTTGAAATGTCACAAGAAATGAAATCAAAATATAGTAAAATTACTAAGATATATAAAAAAATGTCAGCGGGTTTTGTGTCAGAAGAGAACGTGAGAAGCGTGCTCACGACTGTCCGAGCACTTCTCGGCGCCACTTGAAAAGAGCGATAAGGAGAGTTTGTAGAAGAAAGGTCGGTATACGAGCATACCTGGCACTGTATAATGAGATTTATAAATAGAAAAAAACAAGTCTAAACTGGAGGAAAAGATTTTCAAAGCTGAGCTCAGTCTGGTTTGAAGCGTCGAGCGGTATAGATAGATCTAACGAGTAAGAAAATCGGAAAAGTGATTCTTCTCTTGGTAAATAAGTTCTTTTGGTAAATATCATTTTGTGAGTTAGTACGAGGGTAATCCCAAAAGTAAGGTCTCCAAAGCGCTGAGGGCGCCGCGAAACTAATCGTGCAACTGTTGGAAACATTGTTGTGTTTGTTACTTCCGCCACTCCGCAACAAGCCTATGCGCACCTCGCTGGGACACTCTGTCTTCACTTGGCAGTCGTTTGTAATGGAGCTCCCATTTAGCGCTACCGCCAAGTGCGAAGTTCGCGCAGTTATTCGGTTTTTGAACGCAAAAGGAGTGAAACCTATTGAAATTCATCGCCAATTGAAAGAAGTGTATGGCGAGTCGTGCATGAATGTCAAAAACGTCCGCAAGTGGTGTAAGGAGTTTGCAGATGGGCGAACTGAAGTTCACGACGAAGAAAGAAGCGGCAGACCGTCACTTTCCGACGAGACAGCCGCGAAGGTTGAGCAAACCATGCGTGAAGATCGGCGGACCACTCTGGATGATCTCGGCATTTTGGTTCCCGAGGTTTCCCGAAGCACCATTCACAGGATTTTGACGGAAAAGTTGCAATATCGGAAGGTGTGCACAAGATTGGTCCCGCGAATGCTCACGGAAGACCACCAACGGCAACGAGTTGAATCTTCCCGCGAATTTTTTCGTCGTTATGCAGACGAAAAGGACAACTTTTTGGATTCGATTGTCACGGGCGACGAAACCTGGGCGTTCCACTACACACCTGAGACCAAACAACAATCACGTCAGTGGCGGCGTTCCTCTTCTCCCAAGCCGCGAAAATTCAAACAATCACCGTCTGCCGGTAAAGTCATGGCAACTGTGTTTTGGGATCGAAAGGGGGTATTGTTGGTGGACTTCATGCCTTCTGGGACCACAATAAACGCTGACAGGTATTGTGAGACTCTGAAAAAACTCAGACGGGCGATTCAGAACCGGAGAAGAGGAATGTTGAGCAAGGGCGTAAGCATTCTTCACGACAATGCTAGTCCCCACGTCGCCTGTACGACCGTCGCTCTCCTGCAACAGTTTGGATGGGACATCATCACCCACCCACCCTATAGTCCGGACTTGGCACCCAGTGACTACCACCTGTTTCCTAAGCTGAAAGAACATTCGGCCGGAACGCGCTTCAGCAACGACGTCGAGGTGAAAGATGAGGTTCAACGCTTTGTAACGAATAACTCGTTACGGCGTCCCCGCGCGACGCCAGCGAGACACCGCGAGGCAACTGCAGTCGCGGCCGCGAGATGGCTACGCACGCCTCGCGGTTCTCGCCGATAAGATTGTGCCTCGCGGCTACTAATACCGCGGCGCGAGGCACAATCGGGGCAGATCTCGACTCCCTGCGTACCGGCACACCTTCGACCGCAATCGAGCTCTCTGCTTTTTGGATCCTCCAAGGTACTCACTCACTGGGGCGCTGTCCCAGTGTATGATGGAAAGCCTTTAACCCAAAGGCCCTCCGACAGTGTCGGGTCAAACCCACTGCTCGGGCCATCCCGACCCCTCCTCCCCCGCAGGCCATCACCTAAGGGGGCGGGGACACCACGGGTCTCCTCCACCCGACCGACGGAACGGCCCCTGGCCGTCCCACGATCGAGGGCAACCCTCCCCTCCACCACGCCGCCCGAAACCGCCACGCTCCAACCGCCGCGTTCCGACCGCCGCGCCGCCACCCGAGGGCACCGCCGCGTTCACTCCGTCAACCGATTACCGCCGAGCCGCCGTCCGGCTACCGTGCCCTTCGACCGCCGCGCCGCCACCCGAGGGCACCGCCGCGTTCACACCGCCGCTAGCCACTAAGACTAGAATCTAAGGACCCCGACTTTTGTAATCCCCCCCCGAAGACAAATAAACCTGCCGGTTGATCAGATTACACTCGTCTCATTCGTTCGACCCCTGGCAGCCGACTGAGCTGGCCTCCTTCCTCCGTCCCGCCGCGACATACGTCGCAGCTTCCTCAACGGCATGGCGGCGAGCTGGTATGACATGGGCATACAAAAACTGCTGCAGCGCCTACAAAAATGCATCGACAGAAATGGCGATTATGTCGAACAATAGATAAATGTTCAAGCTTTAAAATGATGTAAACATTATTGAAAATAAACATTTCTTTGTATTTCTAAAAAAATAGGAGACCTTACTTTTGGGATTGCCCTCGTAATAACAATTAGAAATTTTCAACCCATGTATTTATTCATTTTTTTTATTAGAACAATGGCAAAACGTTCAAACACGAATGAGTCTCATGACACAAGTAGCGATGAAGATGAGCTCCAGATAGACGTTTATACAGATATCTTAAAAACATTACATGTAGAAGAAAACGATAGCAGTGTTAGTGATATCGTCCAACCAACAAGGCGACGAAGAAATCGCATAGATAGCGATAGCGATGAAAGTGATACGGAAGAAGACACACCGCTAAATGGCAACGTATTGTCAAGTGAAGAGTGGGAAGACGTCACTGAATCAGGCGTTCCTCCAGCAACGATAAATTTTAACTTACATCACGAAATAGCCGGACCACAACTACCAAATAATGTAAAAGAACCCATAGATTATTTTACATTATATTTTAGAGATGAATTAGTAGACAGCATAATAAAAGAAACGAACAATTATGCCACGGAAGAAATTAGAAAGAAACAACTTTCACGGAAATCAACTTGGCACAAGTGGCACGATATTACTAAAGAAGAATTTTTAGCTTTCATCGCCGTTATCCTAAATATGGGACTGATTCAACTGCCAAATATTCAAGAATACTGGTCTACTTCTTCCAATAGTAGAATTCCTTTCTTTCCGGAAACATTCACTAGGGCCAGATTTTTGCAAATATTTTGGGTGCTACATTTGACGAAACCCACGCAAAAGAATGCGACGACAAGAACTCGTATCCAAAAGGTTAGCAATTATTTAGAATATATAGATGCCAAGTTTAGACAATACTTCATACCGTATAAAGCAGTCGCTGTGGATGAATCTGTTGTAAAATTCAAAGGCAAAATAGCATTTATCACGTATAATCCGAACAAGCCAACGAAATGGGGTATACGCATATAAGCGCTAGCGGATTCAAAAACTGGATATTTATTTACAATACTTCCGTATTATGGCAGCATAACGTCCGATAACATTTCCCGGCCTGATCTTCCAGTAACCACCAGGATTCCACTACATTTATATAAGAAGTGGTTAGACAGAATTCCTGATGCAAAAGGATACCACATGTACACTGACAGGTACTACACCAGCATTCTCTTAACAGAAGAATTGCTAAATGTTATATCCTGTATTTCATAACCTCTTTCCATTGCACATTTTTACCATATTACTTCACAACGCAAAGAAGAAGCAGAAATCGTTAATTCAGCGATACGTGGAAGCAACAGAGTGATTGTCCCCTTTTTTTGATTTTATAACCTTGTTTCGAGACCATCGGGAATCACAGCCTGTTGCTATCTTGCGCGTTTCCCAACAAAAGGAGAGGGGAAAGAACACATAAAAGGGATTGTTCAAAACCAGGTTGGCAGTCTAGTCTAGTAAACAGAAAAAGAGTCAGAGTCAGAGTGTGTCAGTCAGTCAGTAAGCTGAGGCTCATATTCGGTAGTCGTGCCAGACGGTGCTTCGTCGGCAAGCTGAGCGACAACGGTCACTCAGCTGTTGAGATCGGGTTTCGCGACGATATCTCTTCCGTGTGCGACGCGACTTTGCGATAACGCGCGGCCTAACAGGCGAGTTCGATAAGACACCGGACCGCGAAGTGTGACGTCCGAGACGGTGACAACGTATCCCGCAGTGCCCGACCCCTGCATCACGGCTCCGAGCGCCAGCAAGTCTTCCGCCCTTTAAAGGACCCGTAATCCCGATCAAACCGACTGAAACCGAACGAGCGTATCATTGATCTTCATCACCATTGGTATGTTAAGACTTACTTGTATCTTTCATTTTTATTTGGATTGTTAGAATATATCTTATTATTGTTATAAACGAGAGTGATTTCCTATTCCTCCCGTTCCAAAACCAAACCGCGTACTTCACCGATAAGTTTAGACAGGGCGTGCTTTAGCACCTTAAAAGGGCCAGGACCCGAAATTATAAATAAAGGTATAATCAGGTTGTGGGATTCACTTTTAGGGGACTTGTTAGAGGGAAACTAATGTGGGATCGGGAACTCCATACCCAACAAAAAGGAGCAAAATAACATCTTGGGAAAATAGGAGGGTTCCGTGGAGTAGTGGGGGGTAGAGTCTCTGCTTTCGGTGCCGGGGGTCGTGAGTTCGAATCCCGCTTGGGCCCTCTCATTTTTCCAACGCTCCTACATTTGGGGGCTCGTCTGGGATGGAGGCATCTACGACCACACGAGGCGACAACGACGACGATGACGATGACGAAGAGAGAGGGGCATGTCTCCCAAAAAGTGAATAGTGGGGAGAATGTTACCCGAAAAAGACGAAGAGAGAGGGGCACGTCTCCCAGAAGTTGAAAAGTGGGAGAGTGTTACCAAAAAGACGAGGAGAAAAGACGTGCGCAGAAGACATTCGAGGGCGAATGTCAGCGCAGGATGGCCGAGTGTGGGATCGGGAACTCCATACCCAACAAAAAGGAGCAAAATAACATCTTGGGAAAATAGGAGGGTTCCGTGGAGTAGTGGGGGGTAGAGTCTCTGCTTTCGGTGCCGGGGGTCGTGAGTTCGAATCCCGCTTGGGCCCTCTCATTTTTCCAACGCTCCTACACTAATAGACTATGATGCCTATGGAGTGCCAATAAAGAGTGGTGATCGTGCCTGGAACTTGGTCTTTGGCATGGTCGGTGGTGTCGGTATAGAATATCTCATCAGAAACCAGCTTCTGGTGGCCTCGCAATTATTGGCGCCAACTACAGGATTGGCGTCAGTGACAGCCGCAACGTTGGGAGTCGGAGGACGCCGCAGCCTATTATTTGGAGCCACGGGAGACGCAATCGTACTATTGAAACAAGTTTATATGATATTCTCAAAGGTACAAGATGGTATGTTGCCTTGGAGTTCACTTGGTGGTGCAATGACGATCGCAATGCAATCTGTGACTCTAGACATGACAACGGGTATATTATGCGTCGTTGTCGCGGTAGCTCAATTAGCAGTGAGGACTGGCTTAAAAACAGCCAAATTTCAGGCGGGAATGGCAAGCAAAAGCGAACGGCAGCCAGACGGAACCAAAACTTACGTAGAAGATTTCTTTGGAAGCTTCCACAATTTCGCCATCAATGTACTGTGCTCGGCTTCAGTTCTAGCTAGCCCGAGTTCTCTGGTGTCCATAGCTATCGCCTGGATAGGCAATTGCGCGAGAAGAGGTGAGATAAATAGAGAATGCATGAAGGATGCCTTTGAGGCATACGCCGGCGTGCCAATAGCCTTGGCTATCATATCAGAGGGATTGGTAAGCTTAAGTCGTAGTAATGGGCGTGAAAGGCACTCCATGGATCTTTTCACCTTGGCATTGGGTGTGCCTGGGTTTATAGCGGGGTTATTTGGATGCATGTACTGGGCCAAGAACCCCACTGTGGCGCACGCCATTACAGACGTGTGGAATAATCTTAAGAGCTTCGTTGGTTTCGTCTGGAGGTACGCCAAGGACAGCATTTGCTCTGTGGCCAGTTACATAGGTGGTTCTATCGGCGAAGGTGTGATGGCGAAACTGGTTGACAGTTTGCCGAATTGGTGTAAAACAAAAACGGATAACTTGGTGATGGAGGAACATTTCGCGATGGCAAGAGCCGAACCTAAAGAAATTAACAAGTGGTTCTTAGATCGGATAAACACAGATGGTCTAAATTTGATTCAACGGTTGCACTACTCGCGGTCTATTTGCAAATGTGACAGATACGGAAATGTCATGCCACTATCTTACCTCAAATTCGTACGTGACGGCAAACAAGGATTGTCTCTGTGTAGAAAATACGCATTCAATGTCCCATTCGAGTTCTTCTGCATCACCGCCTAAGATTTACGGGCTATAGTGCAGTGCTTTGCTGCTGATGTTGGCTGTCAAACTCAGGTTTATCACTTGATCGTGGTGACTGTAGGGTCGACATTGAACTATCCTACAACGCATGCGTCGCTGCTCATTTTGTGCATGTAACTAAATCCATGTTCAGCTTCAGTTTTTTATTAATTAGCACTCCTTTAGAGACCGGAAATTTAAATTACGTGTTGGCCTACCGCGTCCCTGGTGGCCTATTAGACACCTTGTTTACTAAGCTCGCATGTTTGCACCCAGCTAACAAAGCTGTGTCGG